TATATTTGATAACTGAAAATGATTTGCATTTTAAGACAATATTCATATATAATATTTATTTTTATAACTTTTACAATATTTAAAAATCACTTTTGTTTTGCACTTAGACCTTCAGGTTCAATAACATTAAGTCATGTTTAAAGTACATTCCCCCTCTTCTGGATAACGGTTCGAATTCGATTTCTTACAAATTTGTTTACAAAAAAAAATCACTTCTTTTTTTTTTTTGCAATTAATTTTTGAATGTTAAAGTATCATTTTGGTCCCTCAACTTTTCACTTTGATACTAAAATTATCCATTAACTTTAAAAAGTATCAAATTTATCTTTAAATTTTCATTTTTAATACCAAAACGATCCTTCCATCAGCTAAATGGACAAGTGGCATGTTAACTTGCTAGCAAATCAATTTTTTTTTCTTAATTGATGACATGAAAGAAAAAAAACATAGTTGACCAATTTTTTTTATGAGTTGATATTTTTATTTAAAATAAAAATAATAATATCATTTTTTTCATCCATGCCATCTCTTCTTCCTCTTTCACTTTCTCTCTCCTTTACCTCTCCTTTCCCCTTACCTCTACAATCCCAGATCTGGGTTCTCTCTCAAGCTTCATCTTCTTCCTCCTTTCCTCCTCCCTGTTCATCCTTCTTCTTTCTTCTTCTTATTCTTTCTCTCTCTCTCTCTGCTCCCTTCTTCTTCCTCTCTCAAACCTAGATTTGGGTTTTAGAAAAACTGCTCCCTTCTTCGGCTTTTAGTGGCTTCAAAATGGTGAATAGAGATGCAAATTCGCTTTGATTCTAGCTCTGATCTTGAAACTAGGGCTCAAATTGTTACGGGAAGGCAATGGATGTGGATTCAACAATGGTGTCAAAGAACAATCACGACCAGAACCTTGGTGGTGCGACGCAATCTCCTGCGCCGATGGAGAAGGAGCAGCAGCTAGACAACCAGCAGTTGTCTGCATCCTCTTGCTCAGTAGCAACCTACGGCCATGCACTTTTACCTTTACCTTTCACTTTCCCTCACCTTTGCAAACCTTAAAACTTTTCTTATTCTCTCTCTCTCTCTCTCTCTCTCTCTCTCTCTCTCTCTTTTCTCCCTTTTTCTTCCTCACCAAATCTAGGTTTTTCTCATCGTCTGCAATGGCTTCCGGTAGTAACAAGGATGATTCTTCCTACCTTTATGCCATGTTTCTTGACCTCAAAGAACAGATATTAGAGACGGGACAAAAGATTGAGAAATTCTTGCAAGTACCGTTCAACAACAACATCGATGAAGCATATCTGAACGTTGAAACTGTGTCGTTGAGGACGAAATTCGAAGATTAGAACACGAGGCTTCAAGAATTTGCGAAGTAGTTCTGTCCATCCGGCCTTCAAAATCTTGATCCTTTGGAGCTGGAAATGGAGATTGGAAGATCGCTAAGCAAATTGGGGAAAGATAATCAAGAAGCCTTTCTCCAAGGGATTCAACACTATAAGAAGGAACTGAAAGAACTTGATGTGAAGGCTTTGTCTAATTTCGTGGAATTAGATGATTTTCTCAAACCCAGATTTGGGTCTGGGTTTCAAGCATAGCACCTCAGTTTGCTATCAATCTATCCCTGTGAGAACGAAAAAGATCCCTAACTTCCAATCTCAAACCAAATCTTCAGGTTGGTTTCGAAATTAGGTTCTTATATGTAAATTCCATGTTTTATTATCTTAAACATAATCATGCAATCAAGTATGATTTTGCGTCTTTAGAGAAGGTTTTGAATCAAATAAAGCATGAAATTAGGGTTTCTTAGAGAAGATTATCATTCTTAATTTTATGGTAAAGCAAATTAATGAAACAATGCTGTTGACTTGGTTAATTTATGTGATGAAACCTAGATTTGGGTTTGAGAGACGAAGAAGGGAGAAGAGAGAGAGAGAGAGAAAGAATAAGAAGAAGAAAGAAGAAGGATGAGTAGGGAGGAGGAAAGGAGAAAGAAGATAGAGTTTGAGAGAGAACCCAGATCTGGGTTTGCAGAGATAAAGGAAAAGGAAAGATAAAGGCGAGAGCGAGTGAAAGAGGAAGAAGAAATCTGACATGGGTGAAAAAAAAGAAATTATTATTTTTAAATTAAATGAAAATGCTAACTTATAAAAAAGATAGCCAACTATACCTTTTTTTTTTTTCATGTCATTAGTTAAGCAAAAAATAGAATTGATTTGCTAGCAAATTAACATGCCACCTGTCATTTAATTGATGGAAGGACCGTTTTGGTATTGAAAATGAAAGTTTAAGGATAAATTTGATATTTTTTAAAGTTGAGAGACCAAAATGGTACTTTAACCATTTTTGAAAGTTAAAAAATTTTGAATAAAGATTTCTTTTAATTAATTAATTTTATTGCAAGTCTAAATTAAAAAGGGAAAAAGAAAATAAAAATAAAATCATTTAAAATAATTCTCATTAAAAGGGAAATCTTGCTGAATTTGGGTTTAAAACTTGACCATCATGTGCTAATTCTTTCCATCTAGTAGATACAACATTTGAACATGTCATCAT